CCGATGGATCACAGGAGTTGGAAAGTGCCCGATGAATACTGCGAGGTGTTGTTTAATCCTGCTGCGAATTCTGCTTGGCAGTAAAGATTGGAAGACGAATGTTTGTGGTTCTACTTGTTTCATGTTCAATGTCTATTAGTTCATTGAAATGCTCTTGAATCGTTCCTTTTCGTAGAATTTATTATTTTTTTTTTTTCAGGAATCAAACCAAACCAATCACAAAAATTGCAAGTGCCCCATTTGAACAATTGAAACACTGGATATGAAACAAGTGGAATCATGAGCAGTCTCATTCAACCATCACCATCAAGCAGAAGTGACGGCGGGATTGGAGAACACCTTGCAGTATTGATGGGGCACTTGTGATTTCCGTGACCCGTCGCGCAAATCGCGAAAATCGCGCAAAGGATCGCGGACTCTGACACCAGCCTTAGCGAGAGAAAAACGTTTGAGAGGGAAACTCGCTGTCATAACCGCCTATCCATGGAAGGAACGTTTATTGAACAAAAAAAGATGAACACAGAAACCTCGATAACAGCTAACCTCTATCCTCCTCGACAGAAGACGGTATATCATCCTCAGCCCGCGAGTATCGGTAGATCTCGTTAGGGCTGCTTTCATAGTTAGCGGTCCACGTGGACAGGGTGAAAAACGTCAACACGCGCTCTGGCGCACGACGCGTACTTGCGCGCAGTCGGTGCCTAATTTCGATACATTTTTTCTATATTTTGACGTTTTGTGTGCCGTTTTGCTTTTTCTTGCGGTTGTTTAGCTCAAAACTTTTCCTTTTTGTATGGATTACTGCTTTTGCTTACCAATGAACTCACTTGGGGCTTACTGCCACTTTCAAAACACTGTATGAAAAAAAAAACACGAGCAAGCCAGTCGACGCCTTCTAAAATTCGGTTTCATCGCGTACTGTTTTTGTTTTTCAGGAGCTCCTTGTGCCGTGTTGCTTTTGCTCAAGTTTTTCGGCGAGAACCTTTTTTCTTGTTCGGGTGAAAGAAGAAGAAAGAGCAAAACGGCACACAAAACGTCAAAATATAAAAAAAATGTATTGAAATTAGATTATCGATCGAGGAAGGCGCCGACTGCGCGCCAAGTACGCATCGTGCGCCAGAGCGCGTGTTGACGTTTTTCACCCTGTCCGCGCGGACCGCAAACTATGAAAGCAGCCTAAGCGTTTTAGTTGCATACGCGCCGGAAACGCGGCTACTGTTGCGGGCTCTGATATCATTCAAAAGTGAAGCGGGTTTTGAGGTGATGAAAATTTAGTTTGGGGCCACTCATATCTAACCAAAGTAAAGTTGCGGAAAGCCCTCAAAGCTTACCTAACATAATCATAATACCTTTCACCAAAGCGGTGACCTACGATCGCTACGTCACACTTGTTACCCTTATCGTATTATTTCGTGGCAGCTACTTTGCTCTCTTCGCGCTTTCACTGTCTATTACGTGGCCAGGACTGTAGGGGAGGGGGTAAGCCGAAGGAGGATTCAGACAGCTGGTTGACCGATAGGTATCCCTAAATCGTACACTCACAGCCTGTGCTCTGGATGTTGGCATGAGTGCCCTTTCGCAACTCCACTTTTATTAGATATTGCTACTTTGATGGGGATTATGACGCTAAATATTCTAGGACAACTGCAT